TGTACAAAAAAAAATATTAATAAATAATAATAAAAAAAATATAAATTTCGAAATTGAATTTTGAAAAAAAAAAATTCAAATTTCGCTTATTTCAAAAAACACCGTCACTTCTAATATTTTATACAAACAATGGAAGTGAACTGCTTAATGTACAATAATATTGCAGCAATTTCTAAAATAAGCACAAAAATATTGACCCAGCTAAAATAAAATACACAAAACCATTAAATGGGAACACAGTACATTAGCCCGCCAAAAACACATACAATTTGCCATTAATGCAATGTACTTGTGTTTACGTATGTGCTTGCAGAACAAGCCACCAGTTGGCACGCAATTATGACGCCACCAATCCCACATATACTGCATATGTATATGTGATACCGTTTGCCACCCATCGCTGGACGCCACACTGCCGCAGCAGGCTGCCTTTAGTCTGCTTTTAGCAAGTCGCCGACGCCGCAGGTCAGCATGCCACTTGATGACGCCACAATGGACCAGCGGCAGTGGCCTTTACCAAAGTCTAGAGAAATTTAAAAAGCACCCAGTTAGCAAGCACACCGACAAACACTCATATGTATATGTGTGTGTGGTTGTAGCAAAATTTCCTTTGTTTATGTTTTCTTTCTACCGCTTTAATTTTCGCTAAACAATTGCGCAAATTTTCGATATATTTATTGTTTTTGTATTTTTTCTTTTATTTTGCATAGCAAAAATTTTTCATTTATTGCTCTGCGGCATTCATTACTTAATTTCCCATGAATTTCCCGCAAAAAACACAAACAAAAATGTACAAAATCAATAATTGTGGTGGATAATTGTTGTTGTTTTCGTATAAAGCGGAAGTGGTAACAATTAAATGTTGCCCCAGTTCATGAAATTCACTCAATTTAATGTTCTTCTGGATATTTGCAAATGGATTTTTGTGCGTAAAACTGTTTCTTAATAGTTGAGTGAAACATGAATGAATGAGTTGAAATCTTAAAAAGTCTAAAAGTAGATTTTGAAGAGCCCTCACTTAACAGACTTGATAACCAATAATTACTTAACAATCAGTGTTTTGTATGATATGTTTTTATATTGTGAAATAGCTTAGAATACTGAAAAATACGCGCCAACTTAGTCACTCCACCAATTTAAAACTAGTTTCCCAAGTGCTCGTAAAAGTTGTAATAGTCTTATCTCCCATTACCTGGGTCGCCTGCAAGCGGTGTATCCAGGGGAACAATTAATTACTTGTGAACTTCATGGCCAGTGAAGTTTGAGCACTGATTCGACTCGTACTATGATTTTAGAACTGAAGTGGTAGGATTTGGTTGAAGAATTCTCGCCTACTCAGTCATTTCAGCTATTTGAGATTACTTTCTTATAACTCTTTTAAAACGCGTAATAGTTGTTCTTTCATTTACCTGGGTACCCTCCATGCGGAGCATCCTGGATAACACTTAATTACAAGTATTTGTGAACTTCAGTGTGGACCAGAGAAAAATCCTAAAACTGACCTCGGATTCGACTTGGACTATGATTTCAGGTATAAATTTTAAAATATGGTTAACCCCTCAGCTAGTGAACGAAGTATTCCGTCATCTGTGTATGTACCAGTGACACTGTGCTGAAATGGCTGACTGGCTGAGGCTGCCACGGTCCCTTTAAAAATTAGAAGACCTCGGAATATTTTCCATTCCGATCATTATTAAGCTGATGTCAATCCCTCTTTGCGCTGGTCGGCTCTGAACATATAGGTCGGAACCGACGCTAAAATTGTTCAATGTCTCGGATGGGTCACTGCCTGAGTTACGGGTTCGTGCTCCACGAAAGAAAAAAAGAGAACCTACCTTTTGAAAGCGCCGCTATCGGCTGGGTATATTACGATAGCCAGCAGAAGCCTGCCTTCTGGATACTTGGGTAAGGCGAGGACGTCAGACGGCAACGGTAGCACGAGCAGAGGAATCTCTAGGTACACAAGAGACTCTGTTGCCTAACTATCGATACTTCTTCCACTGTATCATACCCTGTTGACCCCAAATTCTTACAGCGTAGTCTTGCCAATGCGGGATAAGTGCACAAGAGATGCGTCACTGTTTCCTTGGTGCCTTGATCTAGGTATTTCCCGCAGTCTTTGCGATCTGTCAGCCCCATTATGCGGACATGGTTACTAATTCGCTCTGGTTACTAATTCGCACACGGTTTATGCAAAGCATATTATAAGTGAATTTATTATGAAAGTTATGATTGTTGTCTTTGTACGTGTTATTTTTAAGAAACTAGTCAAACATTTACATATAACTACTAAAAATGGACACTTTTTGGGCTCTCAGATAAAAAACCACCATGTACTCAAGTACATCCATATGCAATACTTGACAAAAAACGGACTAATTTAAGCTAACAAATTACACCGTAAGCAGCAACTACAGCGAGTAATTATGTGTCAAGCGTGAACAAAATAATAACAAAAATATTTAATTTTTTATACAAAGATCATAAACAACTCGTTGATGCTGAATTATAGCAAATAATTAAGCGATTTTCATGTGATTTCCGACTGCTTAACGAAAAAAAAAAAACGAGAAATCTTCAATTAATGCGCGACACTCAAAAGCTTCGAAATTTGTGACACCATAAGCATATGTTGCAATTGTTTTTGTATTTAACATTTTTTAGTGTTTTCATTTTCAATATTTTCTTGCTTTAATCGCCTCGCTTACGCGGCTTGACATTGTCACTGGCGAGTGGCGAGTGCAAGCGAGTGTTGCCGTCAATTGAGTGCAGCGGCGGGCGCCCACGCTACATAAATTTCGTTCTTTTTTTGTTTTGCACAAAATGCGGGTGGCAATAAGTGCTTTCTGGCAGAAGTTTATGAGCGTGATATATGGCGGGTTATAACAGACGTTCAAATGTGTGCTTATTGCTTATTAAATTTTTTATTTATATGCCTTTTTGTGCTGGAGGGCGGGCAACTTAAGAGATTTAGTTGACGAAGAGTGGCTTATTAAGCGATCCCTTTGATTTTGTGAGTTTTGTGCTAAAGACAAGTGGTGCATATAAATTAAATTGAAAGTTGTGTGATTTTTTATGTAGTAACAAGCATATACATATGTATATATGTAGCCATGTATGTGTTTTTGTGAATACGGATGCGTATAAGCAGAGTGTTTATGAACTTATCGCTATTAGAAAAAATAAGTTTCCTCAAAAATTAAAATTTCCTTCTATTTTTATTACTTTTTGACAATTTGTTGCATATTAAAAAAATCTTATTTTGAAATATTCAAAATAATCAAGCTGCGGCTATTTGGAAAATATACTCGTATCTATCGTGACGTATTGCTTTGATGCATTTTGAAACAAAGTCAACACTGTAAAAAAATTGTGTATATTTTTYTATTTTATTTTATTAAAGCTTACGTAATAAACAAATTATTAAATAAACTAAAGTACGCAGCGCTAGCATCAAAGGCTTTCGGCTGAAATTGTGTATATACATGTACATATATTTTTAAATTTATTAAAACATATTAAAAATTTCAGAAAAAATTAAGACATTCTTTTTATTGTATTTTTTCATATCAAACTTATTTTTTGAAAAATGTTAAATTACTTTAAAATATATTCGAATTTTTTTTCGAAATTTCAGAAAACATTAA